TGTGAAAGGATGATTTTTCAGGCCACAAAACATGAACGATGGAGGGATGGATGATATTTGGGAGCCCTGGCTGCAGGTTTTTCTAGAGGGCCTTGCTCTCTCTCTCTCTCTGGACTCTGATGAAAGCCCAAAAGTATCAAGTGGATAACGCTATACTTACACTTCTGCTGTAATCCCTATAAACACACATGCAGCTCATAATTTGTGCGCACGGCAATTTACTAAGGAATAAACAAACAACAAAGAGCCTGAAATCAATAGTTGCAGGATTCAAATGACACAAAGCTGCAGACACCATCCCTGCGCAAACACACTCTTAGAAGTGGCCACGTCTTTGGAGCAACAGGTGAGCTTCTCGGCACCTCCCCTGTCTTCCCCAACGCAGCCTTCTAAATATAGAAATTATGCTCTCTGATAATTGGGGGCAGACAACAAAGCCTGCTGTATTTCCACCCTCCTCCTCCTGCTGCTAAGTTATATCCCCAGCTGACAAACAGCAGGCCTGAGATCAGAGTGTGAGAGCTTGAGTGCTGAGGGAACACCTGCGCTGTCTGACTGGACTGCGAAGATAGACACAGAAGATCACTGACTTCCACACCTGCCCATGGACCCATGCCATATATATATACACACACACACACACGCACACACACTTGATTGGGTTTCCTCGAGAGCCCTGTAAGGCCGCTGCTGAGGAGGTGATGAAAGTCAGGGAGCGTCCATTAAGCGTGTGAGACGGCCCTCCAGAGTGGGTGCGGATGAGGGGCTTAAGTGTTTTCAGCGAGGAGCCGCAGACCACCTGGAGGAGGCGGGGTAGGGGGAACAAAAGCATCTGTCTCAGGGCCAGGTAGACTCCAAAAACATTGGTTAAACAAGTGCCAAAGAGCACTTCTGGGCATCAGGTATCACAAGTCAGGATTTCCAGCGTGTTTAGAGAGATGACCTTCAAAATGTCAAAAAGGGGGTGGAGGGTGTTACGCTCTTAGATTTGCACAAAGTCGGCTTTTCATGGCCACAACTGAGACTGTAGTCTCTTTGGAGGTATTGCAATGACAAAAAAAACAGCAGGTCAAAGTCATGGACAAACTATTGTGGCAACACACTCTTTAGCTGGGAAAGATGGGGTAAGACATGCATGAAAGACGTCCTGTCCATCATTTTCACGCTTGTTAACTTTTCTACGAAGCTACAGAAAGACGAGCAGTGACAGTATCTTTGCAAAAACAAGCACCAGAATCTTTTTTTCATGCTGTAATAGGCTCGCGTGTTTACCCGGTGGACAGGGGATGTCCACGTGCACGCAGGTTATAATACACTCTGGGATGCTGTCATTAATCGACGACAGAAGCGTGTTGATGTTCAAGGTGTGCAGGTGGGAAAGTCCCGCAGTATCACATTGTAGACAGGAGAGAGTTGGCAGCGGGGCTGACTCCCTGCAGACACCCCCACTGGCTCGCCATCACACACACAAACACGCGCTCGCTGAGATCACAGGCTGAGCTTTCATGCTTCAACACAGCTCTTCCCCCAGCCGTGGAGGAAACTGTGCACAGATATGAGATAGTGGCTTTTAAAGAAGAAATCAGTTTTTCAGCTGCTTTGTACCTCCTAATTCCACGAAACCCCACAAAATGATGGGACAGTAAAAACATTCCTAACACAGAGAAACAGAAGTTATCTGAAAACAAGAGAATAAAGCATTACCACCTCGACTTCCATTATTTAGTAACATTTCAACAAACCATCTTCAAACTGTCAGCAGAGGTTACTTAATCCTTATCGCTCTGACCTCCACTCTTATACAGCTGCTAAAGTTGCTGGGCCCGAGCTAAAGGTCACATTTTATTTGGCCCCCGATCGCTGTGCGGCCCTTACATTCAGACGATTCGGGAGGGAGGCTTTGAAGTTTTATGCGTGCATCAGGTCTACGACTCATCTCTCGGCATAATGGCGTCCATAAAGAAAGACAACATTGGTCTCGTAAGCAGGTTTATATGTTTAAACTCTGAAAAGACAAAGGCAACCAGTAAAGTTTTAAATATTGCTCTGTCGAAAAACGTGGGAACACATAAAACATCTCCATCTCTGCTCATATAGGCTGACAAAATAAAAATAAAAGCATTTTGATCACATTTTGAGCAATTTATTGTTTGTATTATCAGTTTGTTGACTTCAGATTCTTCCTGCAACACATGCGACAGTAGTTTAGTTAGAATTAGTACGTCAACATTACAAACATTTTGTTTAAATTGATTCACAGTTGCCACATTGTGATAAAATGCATTTCAGACGTGGGGATCTTTTTCCAAATTTTGCCAATATGTTTCATATTTGTGGTCATATTACAGTATATCACTAGCTGAGCTTTTTTTAAGAATAAAAAGACATAATGGTACAGTGTCTCAGTCTTTATATAGTCGATACAGTTTCTAGTGGTTTCTCTATATTGCATGTATCTACCTGTAAAAATATATTCTCAAATAAATAAATATATAACATAAATATATGTATCTAAAATGAATAAATAAATTGTTACACTTTTGCTCTTTTCAAACAGGTCTAGACACAGGTAAGAAAAAATAAACAGAATTCCTTCAAAGTCCTTCTGAACAAACTACGGCTCTCTGACACGGTACCCAAATTAAAAGTACCATTTCTGGATAGTACAGATTCCCACGGACTACACAGAGTCGGCTGACGTCTCCGTCCGACTGGAGGAGATGCTCCCTTGACCATTCAGCTCCGTCTCCCATTCATCTCTTATTCCACGCAGGTACTTTTTAGGGTCATCTGGCCTCTAAAACAAACGACCCCCTCATGGCAAGCGTGCAGACATTCTAGCCTGTCTTCCCTGGCTGCTGAGAGATGGCCCGTGCATTCCTACAAGAGGCCCCGGTGCCTTTATCCCTGCTGATTGGGCTGCTGTCCACCAGCTTGCACCGGGCCACATCCCCATGCCTTGCGTCCCTCTTCTCTTCTCTGTTCCCTGCCTGCCAGGGCTTAAGCAGCTATTCCTGAACTGGACCAGGGCTCCAGGTCTCAGCTGTGTCCCAGGATATCCCTGTACAGCTCTGGCACACGATCGGGGTCCACAGGCCTGGGCAAGAAGTGTGTAAATTTCTGGTGCCGCCTGGATTTAGTCCCGTCCCTTGGTGTCCCATCTTTATTCAATGCTACAAAGTAACGCGTCCCTTTTTCTCCGTGCTTGTAGAGGTTGGAGGAGTATGTGTTGTACCAGTTCTCCTCAAACTGCTCCCTGAAGACACATTCAGCTGTGAGCTTATCCTGAAAACAAAGGGTACAACATACATGTTAGAGAAGCCTTGGCTCAAGATGCAGACACAGAAAACAAAAAAAAGTTTATTTTTCTAAATATATCCTCCTGAAAATCAAATTCTCCAAATGTGAGAGATGAAAAGAGCTCCTTGTGGATGATCACATGGTCAAAAATTAAGGATTTGGGCAACATGAATGAGCAGAGATGGTACTTACAGAGCCATACAGCTCTCCTTTGTCGTTCATCCCCAGATAGAGTCCACTGTCCACCCCTCTAATGCTTATCAACCCAACAGCGAGGCTTATGAATTCCAAAATACCTGGAGAAGAATAACACAGTTGTTCTGTACAGACTTTGACAAAGATGAAAGAATATTATCACAGAAGCTCAAAAATTTTCAAATTTTTCAAATTCAGCTCTGACAGCAGCACAAATAAGACATTTTAACAATTATATCATCAGATTGTTATTTTTTGTCATCAGTGTTTCCGTTTATTTCCAAAATCATTTGTTTTATTATAACAGTTCACTTTCTATGGCCTTGTATTTTTTGCTACCAAATTATATATATATTTTTAAAAAAAGGCTCTCAGTATTTACCAAAACGACTGTGGTCCTTCCTCGTGCCTTGCACTGTGCCATCCGGAAGTATTTCCAGATGAAAACCAGTTCTGCAGTATAACTGTCTCCTCCTGAGAATCCCTTTGAGGTGCGTTAAATCCGCCGTGGTGCTCCGGGAGAGCCTGTCCCCAGATATGAGGTGCTCCCCCAGCAGCATCGGACTGTCCCCGAGTGGGGTCAGCAGGAAATGGGACCCGACCTGGTGCGACACCATCGATGCCGTGGCAAGACGCCTCCCAACTTCCCCCAGAGCAGCAGCAGCAGCAGCAGCCATCGCGTCGAGAGCTCAGCGGGTAAAGTTCAGCGAGGAGGTCCGGAGGGAGCGCTCTTGCGTAGTACACTACCTGGTTGCCACTGTCACTTACTGCATGTTTATGTCCACCTCCTCCGTTACTAAGCACATGTACAAGGACACTCTCTCCCCTGACATGAAACACTCACTATAATCTCCTGCTGCTGCTGGCTGCGCAGATTTCTTCTTTTCTTTGCTTTTTTTTTTTTTTTTTTTTTAATAAGCCGTTTTTTTTTTTTTTTTACCGCTGCGTCTTCATCAGTTGGGGGGTGGGCTGCAGTCGCCGCTCAGATAGCCCTCATGTTGCATACCTGTCCAACAGCGGATGGTTGATGGTGTGTCTCAGCGGAGCCGTGGAGGGGGACACGCAGCGCAGGTTGGGTTGGAGAAGTGAGGGCTGAATAAACGCTGCAGTGCAGGTACAAGGAGCTCCTGGAAGGGCTTTTGCGCTCAAAGTGGCAGGGGTGGTGAGGCAGGTGCAAAACCACAGGACTAGTAATGGGCGGGGCTGTCACAGTTCAGACGTGCCCTGGCAGGGATTTGTTTTTTTTCCTTCTCCCCAAGGCACAAAATAAAGACACACAGGGAGAGAGTTGTCTGTGGGCTGTTAAACTGAGCACTTACATCACTTTAAATTCAATCTGTAAACACACAAAAACAAACACCAAATGAGACTTTAAATGAACCCACGAGAGTTGAGGCATAATTCAGTGGTTCTCTCTGTGTTTACGCAGAGATTGAAACATTTTTCCTTCACTCTCACGCCCTTTAATCCCGGAGCGACTTGAAATACCGACGGCATTTCTCGCGAGCTCCGGAGCAGCAGCAGGCGGCTCGCGCTGCTCTGCTCTTCCCCTGGTTACGACACCTTAGTGTAAACAGACATGGCTTCCCTGCGCAGGCTTGTACAGTCACTCGCGAACAGCTCCAGAACAACAGGGACGTGGACACAAACGACAACCCCGAAGGCGACAAAAGCGCTGAAAGTTATCGCGGCTGGAGCGTGCGTCGCGGCGGCGGGGGTCGGTGCTGCGTATTACTGCTACCCGGCTGTCGGTAGGCGCACCGGATTGAAGAGCCATGTCGAGGCTCGACTCTTTCATCTGGCGTTGCCATCAGTTTCTGCCACCGATAAGGTACAGTGGGGGCATTTGTCAAACCGCGCGGGCTTTGGTGACCAAACAAACACACCTACAGTCGCTCAAAATGCTTCAATTTAAATGTTTTTTGTTGCCTTATATTAAGAGCTTTATATAGTATCTCCAACACAATTAGCCTCTGCATCGTATGGTTGCACGGGAACCGTCAGTAACGTTAATGTGTCGTCACCAGAAGGAGCTATCCCCGACCTTTCGGTGCTGAAAATGGTCAAAAGGCACTTCATAGATCACGTGACCCAATTGCTGCCATCACTGAGGTTTTTTTTCTTCTACAGGCACGAGGCATACATACTTACATCACTTGGGGGAATGAATATGTGTACATTATGCTGTGTTTACATTTGTTAGGGGCTGGACAAAATAACAGGAACACCTGACTGTCTCCTGTAATCCAGTATAATCGCTTTGGGAAGCTTTTTGGTGTATCAGAGTTTTTATGATGATACATTTTGAGGCCAAACTTGGTTATTGTTGTTGTTGTTGTTGTTGTTGTTGGTGCCAGATTTAAAATGCTATGACCATAGTGGAACATTATAAAAAGAACTCCAACTAATGTGTGTTTTTTATATAGATTTTTCTATTGATTTTTTTTGAAATTTAAATCATTTATTAGTCCAGGAAACCTAAGAAACTATTGACATCACAACTTCCCACAGCCCATGATGACATCGTCAGAATATATAACAGAAAAACAGCAAATCCTCACATTTGAGGAGCTTTAACCGGTAGACAGTATCAAATGATCAGTCATTCTACAGAAGATTAATCAGCAACTATTTGTTTTATTGTTTTATAGTAGATTAACAGTTGGGATGGATTCAGGAAGAAGATAAATACTGATAAAACTGTCAAAACTGCAGCAACAGAATAAAAATGGTAGAATAAAGAACAACTTTATCGTGAGATCAATGGGCTTCGACTTGTGGCCTTCATCGCGGTCATCATGAAACACATCGCGAGAAACATTTGGAAATAAAACATTTGAAAACTAGACTTGTAGTCACATAAACTGATTACTCCAGAACACTGATGGATTAGTCAGTGATAAGAACAGGAACAGAGTTGTTGATGGTTGCAGCTTTACACAGGTTTTTACAGCACTATTGTTATTTTCTGTCAGAAGTTATTTTGCCTGCTCTCTCGTACAATGTGTATTAGTCTCTATTAGCCTACATACCAGAACTTCTACAGCGAGTCTCTTTAGCTCAGACACTCGCTGACATTGTTGACAAGATGTTCATGGATCACAGCAGATGTAAACAAACATGTAAACCAGATTTGCACTTCCAAGCTACAGAAGATTACTTGTTTCCAATCGGAGGGAAACCTTGACTGGTGTCCACAAGCAGCAGGAATCCAGGGACACAGGAAACTGGACACTGGGACTTGGCGGAGGGACTGACATTTGATGAGAGGCGGGGGGTGGTTAGAGGGGGTTTAATGGTTAAGCAGAGGGGGGCACACATTCCCTGGGTGTTTGCTCTGTGCCCAGTGGACCTGGCACTTTGCCACCTGACAGAGAGATCCGCTCTGTCTTCACCAATCCAGCCTTCTGATCTGGCTGCGTTTGAACAGTTGTAGGGACATTATCTGGTGCACAGGGATGAAAAATAGGACTGACATAACATGTGCCCCATTACTGAATTAAAGCTTGGGCCTCTTTGTTGTTCCATGTGAGCGAGGCTTTTCGTGACAAGAAAAGCTTCGATGGATTTCATAAAAAGCATCTTTCAGACAGTATTATCACAGTATTTCATGATGGTGTGTGTGTGTGTGTGTGTGTGTGTGTGTGTGTGTTTACAGGCCAGGACCTATGATCTGGATGATGGAGACGTGTACATGTCGTCCTTTGAAAACAGATTTCGCCTGTTCAGTTCGGTGGAGTACGAGGGCCAGCTCTACATGACTCCGCTCAACTTCATCGAGTCCATCACACTGAATGAACCCAAGAGTGAGTGCACTACTCCCCACGGTACTAAACATCCTTTGGAGGAAGGGAGAAATAAGTATTGATTTTTACGACTTAAAGGTCCAGTGTGTAGGATTTAGTTGCATCTAGCGGTGTAGTTGCAGATCGCAGAGAAACTAGGGAGGCCCTTGAGCTGATTCTCCAAAGTAGACAAACTGCTGAGTGTTTTACCTTCATTCATTTCTTTAGTTCATAACTGCATTAAAAAAAATAAGAAATTACATTTTGTGTCTCTCCTGCACTCACTTGTTATCTCTGTATCTCTTTAACTCTTTACAAGAACATGTCCTTACATAGATTCTAGTGACACTCAGTGCTTTCAGTCTGTAGCAGCCTGGACTTGATGTGTTTGACCAGTGAGTGCAAACTTGTGGGCCATCAAAAAGTATAATCTCCAGAGAAAATACTTTTTTTGGGGAGTCAGGAACAATATTTAGACCCTGGTTTCTCGTTAAACAAATAAAGTTTTTTTAAGTTCCTGTCGAGGCTCCTAGACTTCCTAAGAGTTAAAAGTGCTTAAAATTAGTTAGTAAAAGGTCCAGTGTGTAGGATTTAGTGGCATCAAGTGGCTGCATCAAGCGACTGCAACCAACTGAATACTGCTCGCCTCACCCTTGCCATCCAAGTGCGTCACAAAACACAGCAATTCCCTGTTTCAGCTGATTTTACACTAATGAAATCATACCTATGATTAATATATTTAATTTCTGCCATGTTATCACTTACACACTGGACCATTAAGCAATATTTTTTGCTATCAAGAATTTTGAATGGCAGCCCATTCACCTCATGAAGACTGTAGCAGTGTGCTATACTGCAGATGCTACACTGCCTCCATAATCTTTGTAGCTCTGTGGAGAAACCAGCATTTGTCTGCAGCCATTTGCTTAATTACACTTTGTAACCCCTGCTCCTCTCATCCTTCAGTTACTTGAAAAAAAGCCCCAGTGTTGTTGCTTCCTGGAACTTTGCTTGTTGGTGAGGGCCAGCGAAGTGTCATCGGACAATAAGTTGCGGCTTGAAGAGCCTCAGTCATAACACCTGCATAAAGATAGACATCTTCACCAGCAACCCCACTTTTATGGCTCATTTATGTGGCAAGAAACTCGCCAAGACCCAGAGAGACCAAACAACTTAGCATGGATGTCATAAATGTAACGATAAGACATTCTGATTACTAGGATTGATTATGATTGAAGGTGTGTGGCCTGCTGTAATCTTTTAGCCATGGCTTCACTGGCATCTGCTGAGGAGGGTAAACAAGGAGCACTAATGTGTTAGCATACTGCGTGTCATTGTTCGCTGGTGGCTAATGGCTAACGTGTTGCAAAATGGTAATCATGCTTTTTTTATGGCTATAATGTGGCTGTAAAAAAAAAGATTTTGCCATTCTTTTGGATGTTTAGGAAGGACATAACCACTATGAGCAGAGGATGATGGAGTCGTGGAGAAGTGAACCATTTAAGTCAAAAGTTAAAGTGCTGTCATGTAAATTATTCATCCCAGATCCATAAGTGTTTGCTGGTTATGAAACATTAATAGAAAGCATCAAATACATGCCTACATTGAGGACAATATCCCCCTTTTATCTTCACACGCAGACACCTCACTTTGGTGGAGAGCAGGCCATCACATGGCAATCATAATCCCAGCTTTAGACACAGGCTTTAAAATGTGTCAGCGGAGGGTTATTGTCACTGTTATCGATGTGATTTTCCAGACAGTTTTTTTTTTCTTTTACAACACCTCCATCTTATCTTCTGCTTTATTGACCATTGGAATGTGTTCGTGGAGATACACAGCTTGTGTTTCTGTCCACATAAACACCTGTTTTCACTTTTGTTTCACTAATACAGAATCCACCATTTAAACTTATTATTATACGTCAGACATATATCATCCGCTAACTGTTAAACCTTGTTTTGTGTAGGTAGGAGAGTGTGGAAGTCCCTCACAAAAAAGGTGAGCAGAAGGTCCTTTTCATCTGAGTAAAACCTCTGTAATTACTGCCAACAAACACTGCATTACGTTGTGATTACCTGGGATTTAGAAATGAATGAGTGATTTGGGATTTTCTTCTATTCTCGCAGGAATTAGACAAGATGCTGGCTGACACCCCGCCTGTTTGGAAAGGATCATCTAATTTGTTTAGAAACCTTCGCGAACGAGGTGAAGTAACCCACTTACACACACATAAATCCACTGAATTCAAGTGATTCCCCTTTATGGTTTTATTTTTTTTAAAGGCACTCCATGTCTTGTTCAGAGTGTGCTCTGTTGTGCCTGTCAGCCTTGTATAATTCAGAGCAGTGAGTGTGTTGTAAATACTATCTTATCTCGCCATCAGTCCGGTAACATGTTGTAGATTAATTCTCAAGTACCCTCTGCAGGAGGGAACGGTCCATTGATAATACACTTAATGGTTTCTTCCTGGTTTCTTTAATATTAAGTACAATACGTTTCCTGGAAAGAACTATATCATTTGGTACTACTTTTTAGGGAAAGGAGGAATTTCCTTGAAAGAAATGCAGAAGTCAATAAATGATGAATGAATGCTGTAATGTATGCTTGCTTGTAGACACATTTCTGCTGAGCAGTTAAAAGACTCATTTCATTCATTTACCCTCTTTAAAATATTGTTACAGTCCCCAGGAACAACGCACAATATTTTTGGTAGAAAATAATGCCCATATAAGAAGGTACAATACAGCACTGCACCATCAGGGTCCTTTAAAGACTTATTTTAAAAAGTCTTGAATCCATCACTAAAATCATAGCAAATTATTTAATTAAATTTAACTAAGAGAGCACTCAAGTGTCTTTTTGATAAGTTGCACTTACAGTTTAATGTGAAACGTGGACATTGTGCTCAACTGAAGATCTTCTGTCACTGTCTGTGGCAGGGAGGCAACTGCAGTTTACAGTTTATACCAGTTAACGATTGCATTGAAAATAGGAATATTGAATATAAAATGTGGTTTATTAATCTTACATTTAGATTTCTTATTCAATATTTATAGTACTCTAGTATACTATAATACGTGTGTGTATATGTTATTATATTGTGTATATATACATATATACACATTACAATAGCAATTAATTGGAATTAATTCATTGAAAGTGTACCAATTAAACACCTTATTAGTTACCTAATTAGTTAACTTGACTGCGCCAGATGGTTAGTTACACAGAAACATCTGGGAAGTTGCCATTGTAATAGCGCTTGCACACTCAAAAAATACTCAGCAGGTGATTGGATGAACCGTCTGTCTATCACAGGACGAACTTCAACCAATCACATAACATATGGGAGAAGAGTGAAAACATCTTTCCCTTCGAGAAAAGCTTCCAGTGGCGTTCTTTACTCTTCTTTCACAAAGGATAAACACTCTCCAGTTCTGAAATATCTGATGCTAGCAGCATCTACGCTAACCTCAATGGGAGCTGATTAGTGTCTTCTTGGTGCATCACAACCGGGGCTCACCCCCATAGCTGCCAGTACTTCCTCAAAGGACACTAATTGGTCCGGTATCACTGTGATCTTGCGAGTCCAGCTGCCTTGCAAAGTTAATAATCAGTACCAAATTGCAATGTTTTTTTTGGAAGATTTGGAGATTGTAAATCCTAATAAATAAATAAATAAACTCATTGACCCTTAAAATAAAGCCTCAAGCACTGATTAGTGCATTTTTTGCATCATTGTGCGTGTAAATTGACATTCACTACACAGACACACAGAACCATATGTGAGCAAAGCACCTGGAGGTAATCTAATTTTACATAATGCAGCTTGTGAAATGACTTCACTCTTCACCCCGCAAACCTTAATTCACAGTAACGTTGCATGAAGAAAATGAAGTTGTCAGTGTGATTGAAGATTTTTTTTTTCAAAATTTCCCACCTGGGCCTGCACACTCCAGCTCAGTAGGTCATACGAGCCAGTGGAGCATCAGATCTCACTGTTCTGGTCTCTCCTCTGTTGCTTTAGCTAAGTGCCAATGCTGGGATTTGGGGCTTTTAATCCTGCTGTTAAACGTTGCGGCTTTGTCAGGGAAAAAAAGGACTGGATTGATCTGTGAACAAAGCGTTGCTTTAGAGAATGAGGGAGCTGTTTGAACCCAGCTATGTCGAGACATGTCCCACTGGCCACCCCCCTGATCACCACGGACATTATGAAGCCTAAGAATGGCATTGGATTACATCTCCGGGACTGCCACTCTGTATGAAGTGTTTCTGTGGAATTCTTTGTATTGTCTAACAACATCTACTTGAGCTCAGAGGCTCAGAGGGAGGAGGGGAGAGGGGTGGCTCCCTCCAGGAGTGAAGGTGTGTGGTATTGGTGAAACATGGCTGGAATCTTAAAAGTTTTTTTTTTTTTCCCCTCCTCAACCCATTTAAGCTTTAAAGGCTTTGAAGCTAGAGATCTGTTGTCATTATAGGGCCGTACCTGCCAAACATAGAGAGCCGGGGTGAGAAGATGGAGCACTTTGTCATGGGGGATTTTTTTTGATGAAGTTGCCGAATGGCACGCATCACTAATTCTCTTTTCACACCTCATTTTGTACATGTGTTACGCCAGCGTTTACATCATCTTATTAGCAGCGTTGTTCCAGCCTCCAGAGCAGTGGTTCTCAAACTTCTTACTCCGTGTTCCCCTCCCCAGAAAATACTAGGCTCAACAAGTATCACCATTATGGCTGACGTTAAAATACAGTAAAACGCTGTATTCAGGACAGTTCATGTGAAAGGCAAGTTTATTCCTGCTCTAGGACTGTTGTTGAAGCCTGAACAGAATCGGTTCAAAGCCAGATTTAATTTGGTGGAAAAGGATTACTCCTGGTCTACACTTCATTTCCTAATCATTTCTGTTTAGAGTCATGGTTGCATGTTTCTGAAGCATTCCAAATCTGACAACATGCGAAAACATAGTAGTTCACTCCTTTTTGTTTTGTTTCTAACGCAATAAAACCATGTCAATCGTATTCTGGTGTGCGCTGGAATATATTTTTGTTATCTAGTTTATCTTCCCATCATAGTTCAGTTTGTGGATATGTGCGTGCAGTATGTGCATGAACGTGACTTTGTAGCAGAAAATATTACAGGAAATGGCAAACTCACAAAGTATTTTTATTCGAATTTTGTAGTTATTCATTTATTTCATGTTTCGTGTACCATTAAGGCAGCTTTGATATCACCAGTGGTCCACATTATCAGAATTTTAAACCCAGTGCTGTAGAGGAATTTTGGAAGCAAAGTTTTCCCTTGGGTGCTCCTCTTTCTGGAAATATCTCCCTGCAGCAAACCTTGTACCTGAATTCTTTTCCCATAACACCAAGAGCAGTCACCCAGAACTATCTGGGCTCGATTCTCTATCTTCCCGAGCAAACAAAAGCTTGGGAATGCTTTCAGAGGCAGAGGGGAGAAGCCTCCTGAGTCGATTGAGATGTCTCCTGACACTTACTCTTCCCTTCTCCGTGTCACACAACAAAGGGAGCTGAAGGACGCGACACAAAACCTGAAAATCAGCCATTCTCAATCAGTGACAGATCACTTGAGAATGTATTACACCTTGTTACCCAAACACGATCAGAAGCCGTAGGCCTTAAATTTGTTTGGGTTTGTGTCCAGATAGGTCAGCTCAGCTGTAAAGCCTGTGTTTGTGTGAGGGGAACACCAAGCATGAAGTAAAAGGCACCTTTTAAGATGTTATCAGTGAGCGCAAGAAGATTACCCCTGTCTGAAGGCGTTTCTTTGGATGGCTTATTCATCTCGGGCGCATGACTTTGAACATTTGTAAACACCTTCAGCTAACTGGTTAATGCTGTTTGATGCTGCCTTGTGTGGAAAAGGGAACATTTAGGTTTTTGTTTCTAAGCTTGACAAATCTCTCTCTATTTTTTTCCAGGTGTCATCAGTTACACTGAGTATCTCTTCCTGCTCTGCATTTTAACAAGTAAGTATATGTTTTAACTGGCTTAAGCAGAATTATCTTGGTGACTATCGGTGACTTTAATTCATTTTTGTTTGATTTCAGAGCCCCATGCAGGCTTCAGGATTGCTTTCAACATGTTTGATGCAGATGGGAATGAAATGGTGGACAAAAGGGAGTTCTTGGTGGTATGAGCCTTGTCTCGTAATCAGATATAATATAATACATTTCATCTGTTACCTTTTGCATAATAATTTATCATCTTCCCACCAGCTGGAGGAAATTTTCCGTAAGAAAAAGGACAGAAAGGAAGTTGCTGAAGACGTGCAAAGATTGGACCAGCAGGTATGAATTGACGTTGTTAAAGTTGCTGTAATCAATGTCTTTTACATAAATATGGACCAGATGTCTATGTCTAATGTAAAATACGTGAAGCAGCTCATTGTTTTGGTTTTCCATTGCCTGTTAACTCCAGCAGCAGCAGGATAGACAGACAAAATTAGCAACTCACAAGCTAGAGGGCAGATATCTTTCACAGAACTCACGTAGACTAAAACAGAGCTAAAAGAAGTGTGAATACTGGACTTACGTGAGTCAGGTGGCAGAAACACAACTCTAAATGAATGTCAGTGTTGCTCTATGTGTGCTACATGTGTAATTAAATGCATATTTGCTAACAAGTTCCCTGTAACAACTATATGTGTCAGGTGTTGTTCTTTCAGCTTGGTGTGCTGCCCCCAAGTGGCCAAAAAAAAACTACCAATTTAAACCTGCAATAATTAATATTCCTTCTTGGGGGCAACACAAGAGGGGCATAGTATCACTGTATAAGGTTGATATGGCTGCGTTTATTCGTCATGTTTCTGCCACCTGACGAATTTAAGTTCAACATTCACTCTTCTTTTAGCTTTGTTTTAGTCTACATTAACTCCCAAGAGGAATATCTGCCTCAGCTAAATATGCAGCTAGTCACTTACTTTGTGTACTGTTTGGTGCTGGGCAGGTATCTCATTGCTTTGCCATTTAAAAACTGCCTGTTGCATCTGAAAGCAAGATTGATTTGATCTATGAGTCAAAATGTTTTGGGCCGGTTAACCAAAACATTGGGCTGAAAAACACTAAAATGCTCCATACAGCTGACAGGTGACTATTTGGTTTTATAATCTTCATGTATCAGAAACTGTCATCAAAATTTGTATATAATGTGATTGTATATACTTGTATATCAATGTGATGGTTTGTTCTGTACAATCAACATCTATTGCATGTCTGTCCGACCAGGGATAGGGATTCCTCCCTTGTTGCTCTTCCTGATGTTTCTTTCATTTTTACCTGTTTAAAAGGACTTTTTGGAGAGTTTTTCTTACTTAGGGTCTAGAGTCTGATGAAGGACATCTACAAAATGTGATTTTGGGCTACATAAATAAGATCTGACTTGACCTGGGTCAGGTGATATTCTCTGTGGGTTTTGTCACCACGAGTCACGCCTTTCAAAGTACACAGAGTTCTTTGATTTATTGTTTAAAAAAAGAAGATTAGTGCAGCTTGACATTGACCTGAATCTTACATTTGAACCAACATGGCATTATATGACAGAGTTTTTGTTTGCAACACTTGCAGTGTTACTAGAGAGAACACAAGCTGCACAGAGGTGAATGTGGTCATACAGGGTAAAACATGCCTAAGGCTTTCATCTCTTTAAGACTGTCTTATGCCACATGCAGGTGGATGTAAACAGGCAGAGCTGAAAAGAGAGATAAGAGCGACTCTTTGAGGTCTTATCGCACAAACACAACATGGAGGAGCTTATTCTGCCAGGACAAACGTTAGCATCTCTGGACGGTCTCACATTAATCTGAAGCCCGTATAACCATCAAAAAGATCATTAGAATGGGTACTCTAGATTTGGAAATATAATGACGCTTTGCAAGAAGACAAAGCTGAAGACGAGGATTAGGTGCATTCACTAACCGAAGAATAGGAATAGGTATCTTGGATTGCTGGTAAAGTCATATAAACTTGACAGCGTTGCCTTAATCAGAAGTTTAAAAAACTAATTTCCAACCATCTTCCTGTTCTAAAATACTTTGTGTATTATAAATAAATCTTGTCTCTCTGTTCTCTTTTTGCATTTCAGAGCCTGCAGCTGTACGGGCATCACAAACCCCCGCCACACAGTGTATGTATTGTTCTCTTTCCCTGAAGGAAAATGAACTGTTCTGCTTGTTGCATGTATTTTTGGCATGCGCTCTCCCTAACCTGAAAATGTTTTTGCACAGTGAGTTAGCACAGAAAACGCACATGTATCTCAGGGGCTGACACCACCCGTATTTGTGTCTGTTAACACCAGATAACCTCATTCACATTCACTGGAATTGAAATACACCACCGTGTACTTCAACATTATCTGACATATTGTCTTTGTGAGTGTGTGTGGTAGTGCATGGGGTGCGCTGCAGATGATTTATGTACTCTGCTTTTGTCAGCGTTGGGCGAGGGATTCCACTTCAAAAAGCTCTTACCCAAAGACTGACAACGTTTCGCCCGGACCCCCATGTTTTATTTTTACAGTTTCTTGAGGAGTGGTATTTGGGCTCAGGTTACCTTTTGTGATGGGTTTGACCATGAAGATGCCCGTCAGAGAGGAGAAGCAGCACTGTGAAAAGCACTCAACACACACACACACACACACACACACACACACACACACATAGAAGAGCCTACAGCTAACAGTGGGACAGACCCATCTTTTCAGAGTTCTGTTTGAAGACTTTCCCTTGAGGTGTGTCTTTTTTGTTTTGATTTCTTCTCCCGTACTGTAGGTAACTTTCCAGCAGAAAAAGTTCAAAAGTCAAATCTTTTCAAAAACACATAACAGGCATGTCTTCAGTGCTGTGGTTGGGCTTTCCCCGACATATTCTAATTACAAGTGTATGAGGATCTTTTCATGGGATGAGATGGGAACAGCGTGGCGCATTAAAGAGTTGTTCCGTAATTAGCTGTGGGATCATGTCGTAAATCTCTCTCTCTCTGGTGAAAAGCGATGAGGCGCAGAGGAAGAGCTGCCTCACATTCCCCCTCGGGCTTGAGAGATGAAAAAAAAAAACTAAATAAGATAAATAAATATTATGAAATGAAGCAAGCCAACCTTAGGAACACGTGTCGACGGCGGCTGGCTGTTTCTGGTTGGTTGCATGCTGATGTTGCTTATGAATGAGGTGATGTCGAGACTTGAGAAAACACCCGACTGAAGAGATGATATGTTGAAAAAAACAGAATGATAGCGAGAGGCAGCAAGATGGTTAATAACTGCTAACTTAGAAATCCTAGTTTTTCTTAACTACTCGGAAGACAGATCTCCTGTGATCTTTTTATTGCACGTGACACCAATTACCAGAAAATTGTTGTTGACAGTTGTGTTTCACTGCAGCTGTAGTTATTATAGTCCCACAGCAGCTGGGTGGAAGTGAAGGGAACAGTGTAAACTGTAATAATAATAATGATTGGTTAATCCGAGATCAGGAGCATGACCTCAATGAGAAAAATAGCAGAGAGTGGCTTCTTTGTTCCAGATTACATTGAGCAGGAAATGTGGTCAAAGAGTTTTTGTACATTTTAGTGTATTGGTAAAAATCTGCACCATCATCTTTTATATTTAGATTTACAGTCTCACGCAAAAGAGAATGTATCCGTTTAAAAGCTGAACCTATTTCACAACAGTGGGTGAAAGGTGTCTGATAACCTGCATTTACCTCACAGCATAGCATCAAATGATGATGTATTGGGTGGGTTCAGTTACATAGTTAACCTGGCATGAATCACCCTTCAGGTCTCACGCCCTGCATGCTTTCGACATGTGTTAGCTGTGTTGGCTCGATGTCCTGCCAAGAGGCTGCATGCATCGCTGCAGAGCAGGCTCACGTCAGGGCTGATGGGCCTCTCAGATACACCGGTGTCAGCCCCCGTCTGTTTCTGCATGTCTGACTTTTTGTCTACTGCCACATATGTCTGACTCTTCTCTCCAGTCTGTGCATCTCCTGTCCTCCTTGTCTGCCTCAGTGTCCACGTTTGTCTGTCCATCTCCCTTTTTCCTAATCTCTCCAACATGTGCCAGATGTATTTTGTCCTCTAACAGCTGTGCTTCAACTGCTGCCACAGGTTCTTAAAAAAGACAGTCAGCATGTGGAGGCCCGGGGCATGTGGGATGTTCTCAGACGTGGCACAAGTCAAGTTCTGTTTTCTGATCTCACTGAGGTAGCCATGCCGTCATTAAGATACTTCTTCATTCAGTCCCTCCAGGATTTCATTGGCTTTTTTGGGGGATTGTTGGAGCTTTTCTAAAAATATTGTAATGCATGTTGCTGTGTTTAAAAACATTTTTTTGTGGGAAAATTGCAAGAATAGTGCTCAACATTTTGTGCAGGGAACTGCTACAATTGGTTAAACTCACATTAAACTGGCAGTGACTGAACAAAATTCACAAGGATTGGTTAGTTATTGCCATTGCAACTTCCTGGAGGGACTGTTCATTTCTTTCTTTATAAAGTAATACTAAGTACCAGGTTCTGTCCTTACTGATTTGTTTCTCATAAAAACTCCTGTAGGTTTCGTGTTAGCGAGAACAGTGGAACAAGTTCTTGATTTATGCATCTATCTTCTTGTTAGTAAGAGTAAATACTCAAAGAGAGCTCCTCTAATGTTTCCTTTGTTCCTTTGTAGCATGTTTAATTAATCTGCTGCATGGCACGTGTTTGTATTGTGCAGAAAGGAGGAAATGCTGGTTTGGTTTCAGGTACAGTGAAAAATTAACCATTAACTCTGGGTAATTATTCAATAGCAGAATCTGGGTATGGCTATTAACTAACATCTTTACTTAAAGCTGTCAGCATGGTTAAATAAATGTAATTGTTAACCCGGTTGGTACCATGAATCGCTTGTATGTAACAAAACAGGTCATCCTGGGTGCTTAAACTGAGATTTTGTGCAAATTCCCTCAATGTTTCAATGAATCGTTGCTGTAATCAGGTGTGATTTGCTCTGTTTATCAGACTTTATAACATCTAAAATTGACTTTTAAGGTTATGAGGAGTAATGCACTTTCTTCTCTCTGACAGCATGTGGATGAGAAAACAGAGACAACGCTGCTGGTGCATTTCTTTGGGAAAAAAGGCAAAGCCGAGTTGAAATTTGAAGATTTTTACGAGTAAGTTGAAAAACCTTTTGTCTGCTCTGTGATAAACCATGATGTCCTAGAAATTATTATCTCACAGTGTAATAAGGCCATTAATTATTCTCATATCGCACTGAACCTCCAACAATTCAACCTTTAGTGGTTTTGTTTGTGAATATGTTAAGTGTTCCTTTGTGCATGTTGAGTTTCTGGTGGTGGCATTTACTGTCAGCAGCTGCCCTCCGTCTCGCTCCTCCAGGTTCATGGACAACCTGCAGACAGAGGTGCTTGAGATAGAGTTCCTCTCCTACTCCAAAGGCCTGCCCACCATCAGCGAGGAAGACTTTGCTCGCATCCTCCTTCGCTACACCAATGTGGACGACGTCAGCGGGTATTTGGAGAACGTGCGCCACAGCATTCCAGATGAAAAGGTGCGTTGTTTTTTCCCCTTCACATTCACTTTATCATCACGTTACCTCTGACAGCTGCCATTCTTCATCTTCATGTACACGGGTTAGACAAACTAACTTACAATATGATGTAATCTATCAAAAACTGGAACCTTAAAAAATGCAGGAAAGATTAATCTACTCCTCTCTTCAGTATGATATCATTCAAAATGATTGTAGGACTAATTAATTGGACATTTTGTTCCAGGTTATTTAAAAGGAACATTTTGGGAAATGTGCTTATTTGCTTTCTTCCCAAGAGCGAGATGAGAAGGTCGATATTTATCTCACGTCTGCGCCCTAAGCTTGACCCAAGAGGTGATTAGCTTACAAAGACTGCAACCAGAGGGGAACAGCTACTCTGGCTCCATCCAAAGTTAAAACGTGTGCCTATCATCACCTCTAAAGCTCAGTAATCGACATGTTGTGTCTCATTTCTTTAACTCATCCATTAGAATAACATTTGGTTTTATTTTTATGGGAATTATGTGTCGGAGCTAATTAATGTTTATCTGGTACGACGGTACCTCGCCTGGCACCCTCAATGTGACGACAAGACTCCAGGAAGTGCCAGCACTCAATTGACATTAAATTCACAAATTGTAGTTTTTTTCGTTTTTTGTACAGTTTTAACAAACAAAATAAACTGTATTATTTTTTCAGATTTTTCTGTTTTGTGAACAACATTTTATTAGTTCATGTTGACAGAAGATGTATGCAGATATAGTTAATTAGATTTGATTTGATTAATGCTATATTGTGCTTGTATATAATAATACCTGGTGTGCAAGTAATACACAAACATGCATATCCATATAATTGGACAAGCAGATACAGATGTACACCAGCACATACATATACAAGACCTGAAGCCATATCATTATATATATTGCATGCACATACACACACATAGCTAAAGTAGATTCGAAACTGCTAATTGGAGGATTGTTTTTAACTTGGAGAGAGTTATCCTAGTTCTGTCCCAGTCTTTATGCTAAGCTAACTGCTCGCTGGTTATAGCTTCCTATTAGCGTAGAGTGATATTGAGCTTCTCATTAAACTCCCAGAGAGAAAGCGTTTTCTCTCCAAAATGCTGAACTATTCCTTTAAATGAATCAGTTAGCTTTTCACAGACTTTGAAGCAACACTGTTTAGAATCGAAACTCCGTAGACCTTTTTCACAGCAGCCATTTTGACGTAAAATAGTAGGGTAAACACAGGCGTCCAGTGAGCTAACATGCACAATAGCAGCATCCTGACTCTAGCTGCTGTGAAAAAGGCCTAAAAAAGATGCACAGTGAACATGTACTGCAGCAGGTAGGCCTAAGGACCTCATAGAGATGTTTAAATATGAGGATAACAGCACACACCTGGTTGTTTGGTGTGAGTATGGGAGTATTTTAGTCCTCCGTTTCTTTGGATAGCACTGTGAATAAGCTGCTGAGTGAAGCATCCTCATTTTAGCTTTAATTTGTTTTTCCTCTTGGCACGCTGACCCGCTCCTCAGCCGGCTCGAGTAGCCTGTTGCTAGATCTCCATTGATTATGAAGTGGGTCTGGTCGTTAGGCTGAGAGATATTTTATGGCCCTCGCCTTGTTAAAACAGCAAAGCGTCACAGATTAGTCATTACTCCATTTGTTCGGCTGTGTGTGTTGCCTGTTTGGCGTGGCCCCCGGCAAGAGAAGGAGCTAGTAGCTGCGGGATGGTTGAGTGGACATCAATAGGCTCAGTGTTTGAGTCATCAGCCAAGCCTGAGATGTTTGGGGATTCATCACTTCTGTTGTTTTTGTTTATTCAAGTATCAGGTTAATCTGCCTTAGAAAAGTCTGCAAACAGCCTGACCTCTCCCCAAAAGCTACAATCCTCCCCCCGCCGCTGACAGCTCAGCGTGTCCATACTGCACAGGGAAAATCCAGCAATGTATACTTTGTCTGTTTGGGTGTGTTATCTATCTGATGGCTTCAAGGTCCCACACACACTAAAGGATTCCTCCGCAGGATGAAAGGAAGCAGATTATGTGTTGTGTGAATTGTAGCACTATCCTTCTCTGGAGTGTTGACACATGCAGCCATTTGCTTTATGTGGCACTTTATGATTTCTCATGTTGCATTTCACAAGTTTTATGTTTCATAAATAACAGGCATTGTTTCATTGTCGTTATCTCTCTGCAGGGAATCACCTTTGAGGAGTTCAGGTCCTTCTTCCAGTTCTTAAACAACCTGGAGGATTTTGCCATCGCCATGCAAATGTACAACTTCGCCAACCGCTCCATTGGTCAAGGTAAAGTCTGTAGTCACATACTAGTTGTACAACACTTGAGTCACTTGATTGTTCAGTTTGAGGGAGTTTTACTACTTTTCCATCTAATGAGATAACAGTAACAGCTCCACTCGAGGGGGGAAACACAAACTTCTGCAGGGATGACTGGCTGGACTAACCATGGTGTAATTTACCTGCTCTAGTTATAAAGATGTTTTATCATGAACATAAATATGTATATTTTATGGACATACGTGTGTATATAAAACTTCCAATGCACGTATTGTTTATGCAGAATCAAGGTGGATGAATAAAAACATGCTGTTTTTAAACATAACTCCAACTGTAATATATTTGTAAGAATCATAAAAACTTCACTCAAAAGTTGAAAATCAGCCCCAAATACAAAAGTATTTGTAAAGACATGCGTGTATTTGCTTTTTGCATTTTCATTGTTTTCCAAAAAATTATTTGATGTGATTACAGTCTTATTTCTCTTATTCCTCTTCTATATTGTTCACTTCTCTCCTGCTCACCTGTTTCTCTTCTCTCTCAGAGGAGTTTACCCGCGCGGTCTACGTGGCTACAGCCATCAAGCTGACCCGCCACTTGGTCAACACGGTGTTCAAGATCTTCGACGAGGATCGCGACGATAAACTCAGCCACAAGGAGTTCATTGGCGTCATGAAGGACCGGCTGCAGCGCGGTGGCAGGGTGAGAAAGCAGAGATAGCAGATATTTTTTTATGCCACTAAAGGTGACAGAATAGATGTGTCCTCTCTCCTCCTCCCTCTTCAGTCTCGGAGAGAGCAGCTTTTCAAAGGACAGAAAGGAAAAACAGCGTCCTTGCAAATCCAAGATCTTAACTGTTTGGTAACCATAGTGATTAGAGTTAGGACCTGATATTGGAAGAAAGCCTTTACAGATGAACTGCTACTCAGTCATGTATCTATCCTAACTTAAGATAGGAACAGTTTTTTGGCTCGGCAAGATGAGAACAGAGTTGCTAGGTAACAGACATAACAGTATCCTAACCTGAGATAAGATTTGATAGGATTCCTAAAGTTTGTTAGGACTGACTCCTGAAATAACAAATGGGGAAAAACCTTACATTCGACCCTTTTCTATCTTAATTTAAAACTTGAGAAAGTAATACTCCACAGCAGCACTGGCTGATGTGAAAGATACCAGCGCTGTCAGTCTTTGTCAGCGACTTTTCTTTATTTGTAATCTGTCAGACTTAACAGGATGAAGGACAGGAAGACAGGTTGATGCTGAGCACAGAAATACATGTTTGTTTTCAAAACGGAGTACTACTTCGGCAACTATTAGTGTCACAAACACCTCCTCTCCTGTTCAATTTCAACACTGAGTAAGCATTAATTATGTCTCTTTTTTTCTTGAGGTGGTGGTTTACTTAAATACCTTCATAGCATAATATCTAAATTACACTCCTGACACTTTTTATTACTGAAACACAACTCATCTCTGAGGTGGCAATTGTTTGTGAAATTATGCTGCCATCTAGCGGGACGTACTGAAATTGATCTTCTCATAGTATTTCCTTCTTTCTTTCTCTCTCTCCCTCTCTCACACACACACACACACACACACACTAACAGGGTGTCAGAGTGGAGGAGAAGTTCACCTCTTTTAAGACGTGCATGAAGAAGGAGCTCTCATTCAAATAGGTAAACTCTTTTTCTCACACTGTTAAATGGGGCAAAAATAAAAAAAAAATACACTAACGATCTTTAAAAAAAAAGCATTATTTTTTAAAACTGTTCCCTAGCAGAGTTTCCCAGGCACACTATCCCAGGCAGTCTTTTCAGATGTGTTTTGAGGCCCACACTCTGCTCGCTCGAAGCATTGAGTTTCACTGTAATATTAACGCCTGATCAACTGCCACCAGATACCAGCTTAAGTCTGCATACATGAGCAGTGAGCAGTGCAGTTTAAAGCCGTATAAATGTTTCAAAGGAAATGCACCTCTTGGGAGAGGACTTGGTAATCTTCCCTGATAAATCTTTGGAAAGGACTTGATCTGTATGTTTTTGCAAACAATGTAAAAGTGTCTATTTTGAGAGAGAAATTAGAACAATTTAACCTCATTATTGTGAGATCTTTATCCGGATGAAAGTGAAGTGGACAGATATGAATGTAATCTTGAAGAATAATTAAACACTTTGAGAATTATGCTGCTTAGATGAGAAGATTAATACCACTTTTATGTTTGTTAAATAAGAAGCGGCTGGTTAGCTACAGTAAGCTTAGCACAAAGACTGGAAACAGGGGGAAACAACTAGCCGGGCTCTGTCCAAAAGTAACTAAATCCACCTACCAGCACCTCTAAAGCTCACTAATTAACACGTTATATCTCGTTTGCTTTGTGGTGTTACGGTGGGTTATATGCATCATGTTTGGGTTATTATTGTCTTTACATTTAGGTTTCAGCTTCTGCTGCGCTAAGCTAACTGGCTGTAGCTTTATATTTACTATACATATGAAAGCAGTATCAAGAAAAGGTGTATTTATCAAAATGTTTGTTCTTTGAACTTTCAGCATAAGCTAACTTGTAACTTAATTAACTACTTGATAGCCCAGGCTTTTATTTGCTTCAATCAATTAACACAACCTTCCTTCATTTGGAACTATTTAACACAAAACTCTACAGATCAGATTGTTTATTTAAACTAGTTTGAATATTATTATATATAGAATTATTATTATAAATGTAGCTATCGAATAAAATATAAATGATGTGGTGGTTAAAATGAACTGAATGATTGAATTGTGGAGGATCTAATGATATGTAGCATGTTCATATTGTCTGAAGTTTAAACATTTATATTTGTGTAGGCGATCTAAGCAGCTTCGAAGTCACTCAACTGGGCGACCCGGTGGTCTTTAAGAGGTTTTACACAGCCAACGAATTTCTATAAAATCCAGACCAGGCGTCTAATTGAGACCTGCGTTTATTTATCAAAACGTGAAGCCACAGCAGACTAGTGATGTGTCTAATTGGGACTCCGCTTTTAATTGAAGTTTCACAGTATGTAAAGTCTCTTCTGTGCTGGCAATACTTTGCCAATATGTTATTTATAAATTAAAGTAAATGAGTATGTAAGTGTGTGTAAAGAAGTATGTAGATATTTGGTAGAACAGCTGGTTTGCCGCTTGTTCCTGGGTGCTGAAAATCCACAGCTGTGGTGAGTCCTGCAGAGGAGACAGATTCTTTTCTGCATAGTTGCAGAACTACCACAGCACTCATGCTCCGTGACTGTTTGATTAAGAGCTGTAAGAGTTTTTGGTTCTCACTAGTCTAATTTATTCTTGTTTCTTATTGTCTCTTTTCTGCCATGTAATATACAAGAAATAATTGACTGCGTTTGTAATGTAAGAACAATACTGATTGTTCATCCTGGTCTTTCTTCATAATGGTAGTTCATTTAAATAAAATTGTACTTATATAGGCCAAAATCATAATTTGCTTCAGGGGGTTTTAAAGACTTTTGCTTTGGATAAGAAAAAACGTCCCCCAAAAAAGCCTTTTACAGGGACAAAATGGATGAAACCTCAGGAAATGGTGGCACAATGTGTCGTTTTACATATACAAAGTTTCACTTGTATTTATCATTTTCTCTCTGTTTTGTCACCAGGTAAAAAAATCTCATCATCCATCATCGGTGCATGTCTTACAGTCGGGATGAGCTTTGCCTCCTTTGTGCTTTCTACTAGGACAGAATGGTTATATCTTATTGCATAATTGTAGAAGTTTTAAAAATAAACAGGATGTTGCACAAACAGGATGTGGTCAGATTAATGGGAAGTTGTTGCAAGTGGTAAAAAAACAAAAAAACAAAAGAATGAACCATTATGAAGCTAGTGAGAAAATCCACTTAACTCAGTGCTGCAGTGGTCTAATTAATGCCTAATCGCTTCAGCCTGCTCAGAAGATATTGAACTATTTATTGACTCATCTACGTGTAAATATATGTCTCCGTTTATGATACTTAACTGATTGTATTTATTTATCTAACTTATCTATCTGTTGTCTATTTATTGCTCTGTATTGTTCGGTTTGATTCTCCTTTTTGTCCTGAGCCTGATTCTGTACGGCTCACACACTTGGTCCTTCTGTCAGCTCTGCAGCCCCCTGCACAGATCAGCTTAGGACGGCACCTCCCCCTCCCCCCCACCTTTCTCCAAAGCGCTGCAGGCTAAAAACCTCAGGAATCCCCCCACCGTTTAAAACTAACAGGCACGCTAACAGTGTAAATCATTTCTTCGGCTAGTAAGACAAGTCCTATTATGCAACTGCCAGGGAAGACTTCCTTTATAAATAATATGCAGATATTTAAAGGCCATATGTTTGTTCCACTCTTGGGACGGGCTTCATTCCTTAAAATTAGTGTTTGGTTTTAGAAAGAGCAATATATTAAAAGACCGTTTCCCCCTTTAACTTTATATAGATAGGGAGTTTCACACCTTTATCTTCTCCTTTATATGAAATCTCCCCTGTAATCACTGCTATAGCAAACGTTTGGAGGATCTCTTAACCATGAATTCCTGGTGTAAGTTTGCTTGGGTGGATTACCGTACTGCAAAAATGACTGACTAAAGATACACAACATGCTGTACGCAGAATTGAAGGGTTTTTTTGATGTGATTTGGAAACTTCTCGCCATATGTCCTCCTTTTAAAAATCGGACCTCCGACTGTTCACCACTGACGTAACGAGCGCAGTTGTATTACTACTACTGACAATGTCCATAAATATCAAATATAAAATATTTGGCATTCTTGTTACTTTGTGCTCCTCCCGTCCCTTCCTCTTCCCCCCACACACAAACACACACGTGCCAACAGTGTCTGCAGCTGTGGTCACTGTTTTCACACAGTTCAGCTAATAAACTGTGAAATCCTCACACTGTCCTCCCCAGACAAACCTTTTCTTTGTAACTACAGTGGACTGATGGCAGGAGCACAGAAGAATAAATTAACTGTTTTATTCTCAACCTGAAGGCAAATCATTAACAGTATTAATCATCAGGAACCTGAGGCTGGTGTGGGTGTACACGACTCTAATCAGGGACTTTTTATCTTTAAATGATTCATTCAGCAGGGTAATAATTTGCTGTCTCACACTCTAATCCTGCACCTATTGAAGTGAGATCAAGGAGATCCTTTAAGGACTCTGTAAAAGACTCCTAAAATGTGGAGAAAAGTTTCAGTTACAGTTGCATTAAACATCACTTGCCAGTTAGTTGAGTGAGAGGAATTGAATGGTTCCACTTATTTGTCCATAATTTACATACATCCCATCATTCACCCCTACATTGTGTGACAGTACCGGTAATTTCACCCACTAAAGTCCAGATCTAGCTGCTTTGGATTAAGGTTTCACTTTCCCCTCAGTATGAACAAGCCTCTGAAGGGCAGTCTAAAGGGGGACTTACAGGAGACAGATTACAGAAAGAATGGTCAGAACTGATGAAACAGAGGCAGAGATATCCTGATTTTTTTTTGTCCCTGTTATGGATGAAACTGAAAAGACAATGGATACTGTAATTCCCACAATGCAACTCACTGGCATCATTCATTTCATTAGATCCTCTCTGCCTGCTAAATGCCAAATGCAAAAGATGTCAAATTTTGCGCCCCAAGTTTGGCCCACAGGCTTGCTTTGTGTCAAACCCAAGATGAGACTTTAATAAAGGTCACAGGAGACATTGTACAGCTGGTTTCACAGGCCGAGTAGTGACAAGTAAATTAATTTCCATGTGTAAAATCAGCGAAGTGCCACCTCAGGGGAGCTCAGGGTCAGCTGTAACATTTTCAAAATGTTCCTAGATATTTATAGAGGTCACTACAGTGCTCATATTTTTTATAAATTGTAGATTCAAATGGAAAAAATATGCATTCAGTGAATTTCTTGTTTAGTCAAAACTGTAGATTTGGGGTCAGTTACATCATATTTGTCACATTTTGTTCGGCAGTATTTGAACAACATTGAAACTGGTTGAGTTTTGACATGTGACTGAGCCATCTGTCTTACTCTAAGGCTGAGATGCTTTATTATTGCGGGGCATATTGTTAGACTGCTGCAGCATGCCGCCCACCCACAAAACTGGCAACAGGTTGAAAATCACAACTTAAACATGTCTCACATTCAAACAGCCTTTATATAACAAAATACCTTTTCAATCAGAAAGTGAAATGTGACGTAAAGAGCAGTTAGTGAGTGCAGCTTGGCAGGAGCGGCTTGTACAATGTTCTGTACTGCAGGACTGTAAAATATTGTGCAGGTGCAGATGGGTGTGAAGCAGCAGGAGCAGGTGGATCTCGCAGACCTCCACCTACTCTGTCAGGTAATGGAAAAACACAATATGTTGGCAAACACAAGCAAACCATACTACATAAACACCAACTCACAGTATGAGATAGATAGATAGATAGAT